ACCCTTCACCAAAGATACCGCTTATCTATCATCAATTTAGTATTTCCCCCCACCCCTCCCATCCCTTGTAACCAACAAAGATTGTTACTTTTTCATGAGTTTTTACTATAGAGGTCTCATACAATATTTGGCCTTTTGTGATTGATTTGTTTCACTCAGCATAATGTCTTCCAGTTTCATCCATGTTATGAGATGCTTTACAGATTCATCATTGTTCTTTATCATTGCGTAGTACTCCATTGTGTGTATGTACCACAGTTTCTTTATCCATTCATCTGTTGATGGGCATCTAGGTTGTTTCCATCTTTTTACTATTGTGAACAATGCTGCCATGAACATGGGTGTGCATATGTCTATTCGTGTGATGGCTCTTATTTCTCTAGGATATATTCCTAGGAGTGGGATTGCTGGATTGTATGGTATTTCTATTTCAAGCATTTTTTTGATGTACTTATTTACCACCTGTACATCTTTTTTGGTGAAATATCTAATCAAATCTTTTCCATGTTTTAATTGGATTGCTTTTCTTATTATTATTGAGTTGTAAGAGTTCTGCTATATATTCTAGATACAAGTCCTTTGTCAAATACATGTTTTGAAAATATTTTCTCCCACTTTGTTGCTAGCCTTTTCATTTTCTTAAGTGTCTTTTAATTTTGATGAAGTCTTTTGTTGCTCATGGTTTTGGTGTCATATCTAAAAATCCATTATTGGAAATTAGGTCCCAAAGCATTACCTCTGTGTTTTGTTCTAAGAGTTCTATTGTTTTAGTTCTCAAATTTAGGCTGTGGGCTCATTTTAGGAGCTCTGGTGGCGCAGTGGTTAAGCACTCGGCTGCTAACTAAAAGATCGCTCTGCAGGAGAAAGATGTGGCGGTTTGCTTCTATAAAGATTACAGCATTGGAAACCCTGTGGGGAAGTTCTACTCTGTCCTGTAGGGTCACTATGAGTTGGCATCAATTCGATGGCAGTGAGTTTGGTTTTGGCAATGGTTTGACTCATTTTGAGTTCATTTTCATATATGGTGAGAAGTGTGAGTCCAGCTTCATTCCTTTGCACATGGAGATCCAGTTGTCCCAACATCACAAAATGAGAATATTAACAAGGAGAGACAAATTATTTAAAAACAAAAAACAAACAAACAAACAAAAAAAAAACAAATTCTGGAGCTGGAAAGTACAATAACAAATTAAAAATTCACTAGAGGAGTTCAACAGCAGATTTGAACTGGGAAAAGAAAGAATTTGTGAACTTGGACATAAGGCAATTGAAATGATCCAGTCAGAGGAACAGAAAGAATAAAGAAAAATGAATACTGCATAAGGAAACTGTGGAACATCACTCAGGGGACTAATACATGTATTATGGGAGTCCCAGAAGGAGAAGAGAAAGAGAAAGAGCAGGAAGAATATTGGAAAAAATAATGGCTGAAAACTTTCCAAATTTGATGAAAGACATGAATTTGAACATATAAGAAGCTTGACAAACTCCAAACAGTATAAACCCAAGGAGATCCATGCTAAGACATAATCAAACTGTTGAAAACCAAAGATATAATTCCTTTTAATTTAATTTTTTTATCATGCTTTAGGTGAAAGTTTACAGATCAAGTTAATTTCTCATACAAAAATTTATACACATATTGTTATATGACATTAGTTGCAATGCCTACAATGTGACAGCACACTCCCCCTTTCCACCATGGGTTTCTTGTGTCCATTCAGCCAGTTCCTGTCCCTTCTTGCCTTCTCATCCTGACTCTGGACAGGAGCCGCCCATCTGGTTTTCTATATCTGATTGAACTAAGAAGCACACATATTAATTTTTACGTTTTGTAGTCCAGTCTAATCTTTGTCTGAAGAGTGGGCTTCAGGAATGGTTTTAGTTCTGGATTAACAGCATCTGGGGGTCATAGTTTCAGGGGCTCCTCTAGTCTCTGTCAGACCATTAAGTCTGGTCTTTTTACATGACTTTAAGTTCTGCTCCACACTTTTCTCCCACTCCATCCTGGACTATCTATTGTGTTCCCTGTCAGGGAGATCATTGGTGGTAGCCAGGCACCATCTAGTTCTTCTGGTCTCAGGCTGATGGAGTCTTTGCTTTATGTGGACCTTTTGTCTCTTGGGCTAGTATTTTCCTTGTGTGTTTGGTGTTCTTCATTCTCCTTTGCTCTAAGTGGGTTGGGACCAGTTGATGCATCTTAGATGGCCACTCGCTAGCTTTTAAGACCTCAGACGCCACTCACCAAAGTGGGATGCAGAACATTTTCTTAATAAACTTCATTATGCCAGTTGACCTAGATGTCTCCTGAAACTATGGTAACCAGGCCCCAGTCTATCTACTCTGTCCCTCAAAGTGTTTGTGTATGTTCAGGAAACCTCTTTGCTTTTTCTTTGGTCCAGTTATGCTGACATCCCTTGTACTGTATCCTGTAGATTTTAGAGACTGGACCCTGATCAGTTATGTCATAGCCAAAATCTTTTTCCCAGTCTGTAGGTTGTCTTACTCTTTTGGTGAAATCTTTTGATGAGCATAAGTAATTTTTAGGAGCTTTCAGTTATCTATTCTCTTCTGCTGTTCGTGCATTTTTAGTAATGTTTTGTATTCTGTTTATGGGTTCTCAATTCTGTTCCATTGGTCTATGTATGTGTTGTTGTACCAGTACCAAGCTGTTTTGATTACTGTGGTGGTATAATAAGTTCTAAAATCAGGTAGTGTGAGGCCTCCCACTTTGTTCTTCTGAAGTAATGCTTTACTTATCTGGGGCCTCTTCCCTTTCCATATAAAGTTGGTGATTTGTTTCTCCATCTTGTTAAAAAATGCCATTGGAATTTGGATTAGGGTTGCATCGTATCTGTACATCACTTTGGGTAGAACTGACATTTTCACAATGAAAGTCTTCCTACCCATGAGCATGGTATGTTTTTCCACTTACTTAGGTCTCTTTTGGTTCTTGCAGTAGTGTCTTTTACGTCTCTGGCTAGATTTATTCTTAAGTATGTTATCAGCAAGATGGCAGGTAAGCGACTAGCTCAAGTCCCAAGAACCAGAGGTCAGATGAATAGGAGCCAGCTGCAGGATTCAGAGTGAGCAAAAGCTAGCAAGCTTTGCTAGAAAGTCCACCTACTTTGGATGCAGGCCACATCCCCAGGGAAAATCCCTTTCAACTGATTGGCTGCTCATAACAGATCTCATCATGGAGGTGATTACATTATATTGG